TTGCCACACCCTATTTATAGATATAGAGTTGGCTTACATGTCCCAAGATTGATTGGATTCCTATTCCTAAGTAGATTAGGAAATTACACTTATCCAAATCCTAATAGACTTCTAGAAATCCAAACCTGAATTGAATAAGGCAAACTGAAATTCTTTCTTAATCCCTCTAGGACAAGAATTGGTATACCTTTAATTTTCCTAAAACAATCCTAAACCAACTAGGACATATTTGACGAGCCAAAATCCTAACATCTAAGGTAGCAACAGAACTCTACGTCATTTAGGGGGATGTAGCATTCGATTGTTCACATTAGGGAAACTTTCTGACAATGGATTGTATGAGGATGTACAAGTTTTAGAACTTGATTTTATACAGCTGCTTCCTATGTCCTAGCTTAAAGCAATGTAATAGAACCCAATGGCAATTTTTCATTATATACACTGGTAAAGGTCATGATTGCTCAGGGAAAGCATCCATAGTAATGGGGAGTGAGCTTCTATTGGAACCCATCATATTTTTTGTTCCTCATTTGGTCCTTTATAACTCTCTGCTGCCGCCAGCCCTCCCTCTCCCCCTGTCATTCTAAAGCTTAGCTGTGTCATGTACGGCATGATATACCTGGAGCTATGTTGGTTTTATGCTTTCATCCTACGTATCTCAGTGATTCATTAAACTTTTGCAGGAGCAAGCAGCTAAGGAGCGAGAAGCCAAGGCTGCTGGTATGGATCCCAACTGTCCAGAAGATGCAAAGAAGGTAGCCACAGCAAAGAAAAGAAAGGTGGGCCTTTTTATTCTCCAATCTTTTTGTAAGAGGAATTTATGATGAGTTCTTTTTTTAGCAAGATTTCATTTGTCTATATGCATGTGCTGGTCTTGGTTCTTTTTTTATTTTACTTTTTATAGTCAAATTATACGAAGTTCGAAACAAGAATTGCCGCGTGGAAGTGAAAGAAAACACTTTGTCACTGCCATGCTCTTAAAGTGATTTTAGATACAGAGGCATGAACATAGTCAGTGGGAGCTTCAATCATTTAAATTTTAATTGAGATACCTGACTTGTAGGAGCATAGATTGTTCATTTCCTTGTTCTGTTTCACCAGAATAGTTTTGCGAGAAGTTCTGTACAATTATGGCTGATCCAAAATTGTAGCTCCATTTATAGGCCTGATATGCTGCAGAACAGTGGCAATGAATTCCAGAAGATTTAGTATATTAATATCAGATTTGTTCCCTACCAGTTCCGCTCTGTCATTGCTCTTTAATATGATGCACAGTTTTTTTATTGATAGGCGCAATTATTTTTGTCTTCATAAGTTTTCACAGAATGTACAACCCTTTATTTTATGAATTTTAAATTTCAGGAAAGGCAACTAGCTCGAGCAGCTGAAGCAAGGAATGATACTGAAGCTCAAACTGCTGCAGAAGCTGTCCACCAAATGTTGACTAAGAAGGTATTGATAGCTACCTATAAATAAATAAGAAAAGAAAAAGAATGTATTATAACCAAGAGGCTCTAGTAAGTAGCTAAATTAAGTAGCTCATTCTTGACCGTTATCTCTTTCTACGTTTAAGAATAAGACACTCAAAAGTGGGAGTGTTTATTCCTGACCTTGGAAAGAAAAAAAGAAATTAGGTCAATCAATGATCATCTGCAAACATAAGGCCCTTTACAGCCTATGTCTATGACGTTTGCCTTAAGCTGGAGAGAGAGTAGATATTAACAAATCCTAGCTTGCTGTGAACAGAATCATGAGCATGCTGCCTATTTAGTTTTAAGCCCCACATTCTGATGTCGTAGCGTTTGAACACCTATGCACTTTCAATGCTGCCTTTTTTGTTGTTGAGCTTTTTTAATTGTTTCTGAATAAAATGTTTAGTTAGATTGAATAGGGGTTATTGAGGGTTTATTATTGCAGCGTTGAGAAATGTTTAAGGGGGTTTGGGGCATTGGGCTTAAGGTTTAAGTGTTTAGGATTTAGGTGCTTATAGACTTAAGACCTAAACCTTAAGCCCTTAACAGAATTAAACAATGATGCAAAAAGTTAATTTATTGAGTGAATTCCTACTGAGTTACATTTGGGGATCTTCATACGAGCTTTGAAAGAAATTGGAGCCCTTCAACATGATAATGCTCAGAGAATCCAAGAGAGACACAAAATCGCTGTTGTTTGTATTGTCACCCACATACACTAAAGTAATTCAATACAAGAATCCAGTGAGATTCTCGTGAGACAAAATGGAGGGCGACGAGATCTGAGCAAGAAGATGTAATAGAATCCAGGATATAGTACTAGTGAAAGAAGAGTTGTGGTCCATTTCTTTGTGGTAGGTTAGGGCCCCATAGTAGTTGGGTGGAAGTCCATTTCCGGGTCCTTGTGACTTTTGAAGTTTACCTGTAGTATGGCTTAGATAAGAGTTGCATAGAGAAAATGAAATTAGGGTAGGGCCTACTGTAAAGTGTATGTTCCAGGAATTTAGTTGATTGACCAAATGTTGAATTAAACGGGTGATTAATATTATATGCTGTATGTGTGCAGCACTGGTGTTCATTCATATTGTTTTTTCATTAATTTTTAATGCGGATTTGTAGGCCACATTGTCTATTTCTACCAGGTTTTTGATGGATTTCAACATGGTTTCCTTGCAGAGACTCAGCTCAAAAATCAACTTTGATGCCTTAGAGGACATGTTCCAAACAGCTGTACGTGCCTCTCTTATTGGGTTCAAGTTTTTAATTATTCTGAATTTACATTTTCATTTGTTCCTAAGGCAAGTTTCACCATATCACACAAAGAAAATATGAACCTACCTTTGATGCTTTATACCTGTTTCACTTATTTAAGTCTTGTGTAATCCACTTTGAACCTTCTGTTCGAAAGCATTTGGTTACATCACCAGGGCGTTCACGGATACTTTCAAGATGTGGTGAGAACAAAATTCACTTTGGGGTGGCTCTCCGAAAATCGGAGGGTGTTAAATGGAAGCTGAAAGTGGAAAAAGAAGTGGGTGGTGATGTCTGGTTGGTTAAGAATGGAAGCTGAAGGGAGTATTGGTGGAGAGTTAAGTAGAGAGAGGTGTGAGCTTATGAGATATTTTTAGAGTAGAGTGAAATGGATAAATAACAAATTGAAGCAATCCTTGCTGTAGAGTATTATTGGTTGAAAAGATGAAGACTTGGGCTAAGAGACTCCTATATGGCCAGCCACCCATGGTGGGTATGGGTCTTGGACTTGCGGACTTAGATTAGACAAACGGATTTGGCTTAGGCCGAATAGGATAAGTTAGCAGTTCTAAGCCTCCTAATTTCGGGGCTGAGGTGATCACCTTCTTGGCCCAGAAGCGCCATGCCCCGTCTCTATTTTCTCTCTCTATCTAAGGCAGGCACGCACACACAAACATAAGATTTTTCCACGAATCCTCCAATGAAGTATGGTTTTGCTTGTTCTAACAGGAGGCTCTAGATAACTCCAAGAAAAAGAAAGAATCACATCCTGACATTGATGCTGAGATGCAACATGAAGAGGGGCTTGAATTCGATGCATACAAAAATGATGAATATGAAGATGATGGAAATGAAGGAACAGTTGGCTACAATATTCTTGATCCTGAAAATGTTGATGAACAGTACGACTATGAAGATTATGGTTATGGTGATGACTACTGATGTAGCTTTCAATCAGCAATTTAACAACTTTGAAAATTCTCATTGGCTTAAAATCATGTCTATAGCTTAAAATTTGATTTTTAAACAACCAAATAAATATCGAACTTGGAATTAAAACCCTAAAAGTGCTTTGGGACTCAATTTTCTATCAAATAGGTAAATTGAATTTAGATTTAGAAAGTCCATAAGGTGGTCTTTCAATTCTCCGAAAATATTTTTCTCGGAAGTTAATGGATATCTGTCTCGAATTGAAAAATCTGGATTCTATCTAATTAATTATCAGTGACCAAAATAATTAATAAAATGGAAAATGGTGATCAATTTGACAAAAATAAGGTTGCAAGACCAAATGTGATGGGAGTGAAAACCAAGTGATCAAAAAAGGAACCATACCTTTTTATATGAAAGTGAGGAGATACACAAAAGAAATTAGGAAAGAAAATGAGACAGAAGAGAAAGAATGAGGAAGGGGTTTGTTACTCAAGTGGTTAAGATCATTTATCCTTTGCATCTTAGGTTCTACGTTCGATTTTCCCTCCTTGAATATCAGTTAGGTAATTTTCCTGGATTTTCCTGTACCAAGATCTACTAATATTATAGACTGGTTAATTTAAAATGGGTACCACGTCCCTTGGAAACTCAATTTTGATGGATATGACTTCTGTATCTGTACTGGAGGCAGAAGCTTTAGGTCTAGAGCTTGGTCTTATTTGGGCTAAAGCGTGTTGGAATGTCTAATATTGGCTAATTGAAGGCGATTCCCAAATACTTAATGAACTCCTCCAGAAAACTGGTTCACCTCCTTGGCAAATTCTTCCTATCTTTCAGGATATTGAAGATCTCCAACAACATTTTCAGATTTTTGAAATTCGGCACTTGTTTCGTGAAGCAAATATGATTTGCTGATGTTCTGGCTAATTTGGGTCATCATCAACAAAATCTTTGTATTTGGTAATATGTTCCCATGTTCTGTGGCTATGCAGACGACGTTTTATCGTATTCCTTTTCTTATTTTACTCTCCTCTTTCATTGTATATCTTTAATTTAAAAACTAAAAATAAATATATATTGCCAACAATGCACCTATTTTTCATCTTGTACTTGTCAACGGGGTCTAGCCCAGTGTAAAAAGATCTTGATTTGCAAACTAGTGGTCTTAGGTTCGAAGCCCCATAGCATTGTAGTAGTATAGTGTGTGTGTGTGTGTGAGAAACCCCATACCCCTGTAGTTTAGACTATTACTTGAACCTAAAACCACTAATATGCAAGTCAAGTGTAAGAAATATGCCTTAAAGCCAAACATTTGATGTTGCTTTTTAGATATTTCGCCATCACTTACGAGATCGTTGTTTTCAACCATGATATATGATTTATAATCATAACAGTAAAATAATAGTCCTTGGAATATGAAATAGTAGGAGAGCTATACAATGAGATTGGATTTAAGAAGACTTCTCATACTTTCACATTGTTTCCTAAACATTCCCCGTCGTAGGATTATCAATTGGGCATTGATTATCTGCAAAGACTAGTGCACATTACATCTGCTTGATTGGGAGAATGACTTCAAGTAATTGGGTGTTGAGATACTAAGATAAGTGTGTAGGTGCTTATAGAGATACGTACACTGAATGCGATCAAACCACGAGTTATAGGATATAGGTCTTACTCACATGTCAAACTAGAACTCATAAGTTGCAATAGTGTAAACTAGTCATCAGGCCTGAGACGTCATATTTGTCTTGTGGGTGAGTTGTTTGTCTTTGAAATCACTAAATAGTTGTGTCGATAGATATGATTCAAAAGGTGATCTTCATGATTCTTGATAAGCTCACAAAGGCAAGTGAATGTACAACAAGGGCTCTCTACTCTCAGTAAGGAAAAAGAATTCTCCAAAGATATGATTGATGAAATCTCTGCAGAGTAGTGGATATGACTAGAAATGAAGTTTCTAGACATGAACAATGTGATCATATAAGTGGAGAATTCATATTTGGGTTTTGACAAAAGTACTCATGCCTTGCTAATATTATTAGGAGCATTATACCATAAAGGACTCAATTGCACGACAATTCAACTTGAATAGGTTCTTCACATTTCTACTTGGCTTGGGTAGCCATGACATATTGCAGGGTCACTCATGGCTTATGGAAGCCTTATAAGGTCTAATTGTAATTAGCCTTCACCAAAAGGGAGAATTAAATGATCTAATTTAATTTAGACACGGTTCGGAGGAATCAGACTTACCCACTGCCTTGCTAATTGGAAACTACGGATCACACACCAATAAATGTAATCAGAGAAACAAATGAAGTAGATAAGATGTTGAAAGTTAACGGGAAAATTCAATGTCAAAGTCAACTCAATATGACCAAAACGGTTGAACAAGTCAAACTATATGGATTATGGTTATGACTTAATGGTTAAGTCGCAAATCATAATTAGTTATGACTTAATGGTTAAGTTGCAAATCATAATTAGATTATTAATTATGAAGTTAGTTTGACAATTAGACTCAGTTTGGGCCCTAAAGGCATTTTGGCCCAAATGACAAAATAGCCCAAGGACCCATTGGGCATAGGAACAAGTGTTGTATGACAACACAAGTAAAATGAGGCCCAAGAGAAGCGCCAATACCCCCTTGGCCATCTATATTAGTGGGGAGTTTTCCTCACCCATGTGTTGGCTATATAAGCCACACTTAAGACCATTTCTCTCTAGGGTTTGAGCCTCCTAAGTTTGGGTGTGGTGTTGAGATAGAGGATAGATAATCTCTTCCCGCCAATTGGTAAAAATTGGTCCTAGAGGTGAGGGCGAGAACCTTACCTCCTCTTGGCCATCTTCTTCACCTCTTCACTTTATTTGGTGTGCATGAACTAGAGAATATTTACTTTGGTATCTTTGTGAGGAATTTATGGAGACTAAGCAAGGAAGAAGGCCTTTCCAAAGGTGAAACCTTGGAGACCATCCAAGAGTACTTCAAGGGTAAGAAAGTCTTATCCTTTCTCTAGGATTTTGATATGTTGGGCATAAAAATATGGGAAATGACCCTCAGTGCCACCCCTTTGATAATTTTAACTAAAAATACCATCCCTTCCCAATTTTTTTATAACTATCAACTATAAATATAAAATTATTGTACCCTTATTGCTCTCCTAACACATTTTCTGAAATTGACCTCCCGCCCATCAGCTCTCCGTCGCTCAGTCTCTTCATCTTCACTCTCTGGTCACTCTGCTCTCACTCTCTCGTCTCTCAGCTCTAACTCTCTCATCTCTCGTCGCTCAGCTGTCACTCTCTCTTCTGTCTTCCTCTCCCAGCGAAATCTGTTCATCGAAGAACAACGCCATCATTCACAGCAAACAGGTACTGTTCATCGGAATTCTTTTACGGCTTAGGGTTTATGGGTTTGTTTGAAATTGGTTGACGGGGTTGTTTGAAATTGGTTTAGGGTTTGGGGGTTTCTCTGAAATTGGTTTAGTGGGTTTTCTGAAATGGGTATAGGGTTTAGGGGTTTCACTAAAATTGGTTTTGCTTTAACTCTGTTTGCTAACTTAAGGGCTTGCATATTGGATATGGATAAATTCTCTTTGTTTTTCATATTCTCTTGTGATTATTTGGAATTTCAGTTTGGGGATGAATATTCAATGTCTAAACAAAGGGCAAGGAACCATATGTGGTGTAATATGAGTTCTTTAAAAGTTTGCTGTTTTGTGCTTGATCATTGTATGCTTAAAACAAAGCGGGAAATGAGTGAAGATGGGAACATGCCACCAGCAGGTGTGGTTTAGAGAAATGGGGCCATGGATTTTGCTATAAGCTAACTCTTTAAGCTTTTGCTTGTCTTTTTTGTCTATGGATAGTTAGACAACTCTGTTTATGAGGTGAACTTTTAATTTTTTAATTGTACATGTGTAAGAAACATTTTTTACAGTTTTGATGGTTTATTTATTCATTTATCTTTGATATTGATAACACATACAATACATACAAACCTCTGATTTTGTTAAGGAAAAACTGAAGGGATGGTGCCAATTTCATTAATTTCCTTACATTTGAAAGGAGGGCATATTGGAGTCATGATTGTGGTTGCCACTAATTGATAGGATGTTCCATGACATTATACGTTGAAGTCAATAAATTGTTTCCTGCTGTCTTCTTGTTGAATTGTTCTGAATTAGGCTTCTGCTACTGCACATTCCTATTGTAGCTTAAGCTGTCATGATTATCTGGTGTTTGGAGATGTGTCTGTAGATATTTAGTTAATTGTCAATGATCATGGAAGGTAAAGACTTAAATCCTTGTGAGACAGAAATTGGAGTGAG